GGGAGTAGGCGTGGTTCCCTTCTGCTTTCACTTCTACACTGTTCATACTTGATGACTACACACAACCTTTTAATGAGTAACAGTTCCTAGGAACTCATTCCCTTAATTATTAATTTCCGTGGAAGCACGGGCTGGAACAGTCCTTCCCGATCATTCCGTCCAAGCCCTTTCTTTTATGCCACGACGCATGGACTCGCACAGATCAGACCACTCGCACCAGAGCCCGTCTCTGTCGGTCTCCGTGCTCTCTCTACCTCTCCATCCTGCCTACCGGCTCTGCGTGTAATCACAGATTTGAGGGGAAACCACAGCAGCACCCCTGGCGGAAGTCTCACCTAACTCCTCGTTTGTGCTGTCGTTGTCAGTAGCAAACGGAAATCTCTTCTGTTCTGCGATAGACTTGGCCTGGCTCTGAAATAAAAAAACAGACAGACACGTTAGCTTATCATAATAAACATAATAAAAACCTACCGTTGGAAAAGTAAAGCTACCCTGAATTTATAGGAGAAGCAATAAATTGTCCCTCTGTCACAGCGATTGTGTACGCCAAGGGCACTGTCTGCGTGTAACTCATGTGCTTCCTCCCCCAACTGCTGGTGGTTCCATGTCCAAGAGCCAGACCTTTCCCCTCCGAAGGGATTCATCTCGCTGGCGGCCTCAATGCTCCCTCTGCGTCTCCAGGGACCATTTAATGACCTCAGCTGTGTTGCAAGCACCACATTCTAGTGACCAGTTCTTCAGTGGGTCTTGATAACAGGACATGGCTGTTAAACCCTGACACGGTTTAGAAATAAGAGCTACACGTTGTACAGAGATGGCACCGTAGAAGGATCAACAAAATCTGACCAAGAAACAAGACAATCCGTTGAATAAAGCATAGCCAAGTGATGAACATGACCCTCCCCGTAAGGCAGAATGGCCCACGCGGAATCCATGCGGACACGCGCACATCTGGCAGGACTCAAAACAAAAGTGGGGCCGGGGGAAAACAGACGATATAAGTGAGCTTGTAAGTGGGATGATTTCATAAGCAGCATCGGTGCAGCCCACAGAATGAGTGTTAGAGACAAATCGTGTCTGATAAAGGGCTGCTACTTCCCCAGGAATGGCTGTCGACGCTAAACAATGACACACTAAGCCTACGGGGTTCACATTAACGTGACAGGTTCCTACCGGATTCCCCTAAGACATGATTAAACCTGGGACACACACCCACACACAGGAAAAGCTAAGACGACCTGTGGCTTTTGGCAAAACTCTAGGATTGGAACCTGGAGACATCCCCGTTATTTCAATTCTTCTTTTTTTTTTTTTAACCCCATATTCCATAGATTCCAGCCAAATAATTCCACGTGGGAGGCTCTTCTGACTAATGTACATGCTGCTTAGCCAATGACTGGGATTCATCCCCGCGATGAGCTTCCTACTCAAACAGAGTAACGAGGTATGTCCATGGGCACCCGAGACCCTCCAAATCCAGGGGGATGTTCAGATACAGGGCGGTGTTTGGTTTGCCCAGAAAACAGATCAAGAATGAGTAGCCGAAACCGGTTTGGCTCAGTGGATAGAGGACAGCACACAGATGCAAAAGATTTTCCTGCTTAATAAATTGCTTTGAGCCGAGAAAAGGAGGCTATAAATAATTCTCTGAATACTGAAGAAGCCTTATTAATTTCATCTGGCATTCGGTGCAAGGTTGCCATTTGTCAAGCTTTGTGCAAAAAGGATGTGGGAGAGAGCAGAAATGAAGTCCCATGAAGAGAAGAAATCACTTGCCAAGCAACATCAAGAGTAGACTGAAGAGCATTCCTGACTTAAAACTGTTTATTACATTAAAATAAAGTCTGTAACAGAAGTGGGCAGGGGTAGAGTAGGGACAAATTCATTTCTTTTCTTTTTTTTTAAATAAAATTTTATTGATTTCAGAGAGGAAGGGAGAGGGAGAGAGAGAGATAGAAACATCCATGATGAGAGAAAATCATTGATCGGCTGCTTCCTGCACACCCCCTACTGAGGATCGAGCCCAAAACCCAGGCATGTGCCCTGACCGGGAATCGAACTGTGACTTCCTGGTTCATGGTTCGATGCTCAACCACTGAGCCACACTGGCTGGGCACAACTTTCCTCTTCTTATAAGGACACAACTCATAGGGCCATCTCAAACTGGAAAGCCAGCTAGTAGAAAGCATCTGAATCACTATCAACCAGAAGTTTCGTTATTCTCTAAGCACCTCATCGTCTGTCCAAGGTGGGGCTTATCCAATCTCTGGTCACCGTCGGCCTCCATGGCCCACTAAATACCTTATGAGATAGCCCAGTCTGGTCTTGGACAAATCTAAATCAAGCGTCCAGGTATCAGTCTGGCTGCTAGGCACCAAGGAGGCCAAATCAGTTCATCGTCCTCTGGTTTGCAACTCCTTCCTATTGTCAGTAGTTCTCACAGGAAAAGGCAAAGATCTGTTTGGGAAAGAAAGCGTGTCCTAAAGTGGAACTTTCGACAAGAGGAAAAAGCAGTATCCAAGTGGATGTTGAAGGGAAAGGCCTGGAGAAAAAAGATGGGAACCTTGGGCACCGGAAGAGGAACTCGGCTTCATGGAACTAAGTGTGAACAGCAGGCAGAGCCCCCACACCTTGAGGCAGAGGGGCCGAGGAGCACATGCTAACGTGGACAGACAGACGGACACAGACGGACGGTGCCAGTGCCGTGCGCTCACCCGAGTGGAGAGCTCTCCTGCACACTTAGCTGGGCTGATAAAAAAATACCGATACAGCTCAGAGGGAAGGCGGGGGAGAGATAATCAACCAAAGACCTTGTATGCACATATGCATAACCCATATGTGACACAGAGACAGGTGGTGAAGGCCTGGGGCTGGGGGTGGGCTGGAGGGGGTCACTGGGGGAAAAAGGGGGACATACGTAATACTTTCAACAATAAGGATTTAAAAAAAAGAAACAAAAATTAAAAGTACAGACATATAAGATCCCCACACAGCCGAAGGCTGGGAAAAGGAGATTAGACTCTACTTTCAAACACACGAGGCTCCTAGAAATAAGGTTCCTGATGCCCTTTCATTCCTGAGGACTTCACAGTGACATGTCCTAGGTCCCGAGTGACCGGCCACCCAATTCCTAAGTCATAATAACGCAACGTGACCCAATACAGATGCACGATCTTCGTCTTATGCCCACAGGCCCACTGGGCTCAACTCCTGGTTGATAAGCAGGGACCTGCACCTTCGGGCATGCGCATCACACACAGAGGGCGTGGGCGGGGGATGCGTACCAGGATCTTCTCCGTGTTGAGGGAGAGCAGAGAGTCGCAGGGCAGCGATCCCCGGGGCTCGCAGTCCGAGTCGTGGAAGTTCAGGAAGGAGGACTCTGAAAAGCAAGCATGCCTTGTTACTATCCGCGCCTTAAATGCAGGGCTCTTAGCGGCTCAGCTGGGAACTGGAATGTTAAGGATCCTCAAAACCAAAGTAAGGACAAGTGTCTAGTCCACTTGACAGCTGTGTGCATGCGTTACAGTGTCCAGTATCGTGCACACCCCTTCGTGACTGTCCTCACGGCCACCCTGAAAAGGACCAAAGCCAGCTAGACTTCCCAGACGCCGAGACACGGTTTTGGCAAGTTAGAACTTATCCAAGGCCAACAGGGCAAACCAGTACTAGTCCAACGCTAGTCCCACTGCAAACATGGAATCAGTGTAGTTGCTAAGGCCCCTTCACTGCCCTCTCCCACCTGCAGCATTTACCACAGATTAAAAAAAAAAAAACACACAAAAAGGAGGACAAAGCCAGGCCGGGGGACCTAACGTTCCAAGATATGCATGAAGGGTCTCATATCACAACATACAAATAACTCCTAAAATTCACCAAGCAAAGGGCAACCCAACTTAAAAAAAAAAAAAAAAATGGGCAAAGGTCTTGAATAGGCAAATTTCCAAAGAATATGTAGAAATGGACACTGCATTCATGAAAGGATGCTCTACGTTATTATTAATCAGGGAATGCAAACCAAATCACAACGAGGGACCACTTCACACCCGCTAGGATGGCCATCATTTTTTTTTGAAATGGACAATCTCAAGTGTTGGCGAGGATCAGAGAAACCAGAACCCTTGTGCATTGCTGATGGGGATGGAAACGGTGTGGCCACTGTGGGAAACGGCTTGGTGGTTCCTCAAAAAGTTAAACACAGGATGTGCACATGATCCCATCATTCAACTCCTCGGTATACGCCCCGAAGAACTGAAAACAGGAACTCAGACAAGAATAGTATTCAGCCTTAGAAAGGAATGAAGTACCGCTACATATTACAACATGGGAGAACCTCCATGGACCCTCTGGCGAAGCAGTGGAGGCGGGACTTCCTGGAGCCTGTGCCACGAACCAATGAAGGGAGAGGGAAGTTAAGAATTTCACAGGTGAAGGGGGGGCGGGGAGTGGTCCAGGCAGAGATAAGCACCCCGTACATCTGCCGTCTTCTTCACTGGCTGGAGCTGAGTATTTTCTGTGCCCACATTATTAAACTCTCAACAGCTCCAGTAACATCTCCATTCACTCTGTGAATAACGGTATCGTCGACATGTAACTACATCAAGGTCTTTTTAATATTTATACTCATTTAGCATCTTCTGACACTAGATAACACCTCAAAAAAAAGTGCTCATTAACACGAGTGACCACAGGCACTCCTGCTCATCCCGACATTAATATTTCATTCAGACATGAAGTTCAAAACGACAGGCATGGCACGTGGCACACGGCACCAGCTTCGGGTTCCTGCAGCCGGAAAGGACCAGTGCCACTGGCTGACATGGAAGTTTAGGAGGAAGGACAGTCCTTGAGGGAAGGGCGACCTTAAGTCGAGAGCTTGTGCGATGCGGACTGGAAGCTGCCTTGCATGCAGGTAGGAAATTAATTCCGGGCAGAGATAGATAAGAGCTGCCGACATGAACTTGATCATCGTTACCTGGGGCTCCTTGAACACGTGGGGAAGTAAGCTCAGCAAGAAGGGACACGTTCAAGGTCACAAAACGAGGAGAGAGCACAGCCGAGCCTTGCCACATCTGCACTCGAGGGCACCACGTCAATAAAGGTCCAGGGTCCAGCTGCCACCACTCCCTCCCCGGCGCTGGGTGCTGGCAGTAAACGGGGGCTGGCAGAGCAATGCCACCCGCTCCTTCCTCCACGCCTCACCCACGGCCGCCTGCCTGAGAGGAGCAGTTTGGGTGCAGAGACAAGAAACAGAAGTTTTTCTTCGCTTCTCCCTCAACGGCCTAGAAGAGTTTAGACGGAGGGCCTGTAGCGGCCGGGAGAGAGCCATTACTAGGAAGGGCGACAGACTGGGAGCCGAGTGTCCTCAACTGGGAGAGAAACTGACAAGACCTGCTGGTCCAAAGTCCCCTCCGCGTCCCTGGGTCTCTGGACGGAACGGCCAACGTTTACCACACATTTGTTCTTCCCGTCTCCCTGTGGCCAGCCCTCTTTACCTCTGAAGTCCTGGCCCCCGGCCCCTTTCTTCTCAGCTCAGGACGGCAGCTAAGCCTCCATTGCCCGACTGACCGCCTGTGGGCTTCGGTCCTTTCGGAGCCCCCCTTACAGACAAAATTACATTTTGTTTTTCTCCTGTTGATCTGTTTCATGTCGATTTCAGAAGAACCTGGAAGGGTAGAGGAGAAATGTTTCCTCCACAACAGAGCTGACTGGGGCAGGTTCGAGAGAGCCCTGGACACCGGGAGGCAGAGCAGTGAACATCTCCTTTGAGGAATTCTGCAGAGATGAGGCCGTGGCTGGAAAGACCCTGGTCCTGTCGCTGCTGCTTGCTTTTTCCAAGATGGGGGCTGCTACAGCCAGGTGCGTGCTGATGGAAGACAAGGGGGCGTGATATCCCGGACGCAAGGAGAGAGCACTGAAGGCAAAAGCTGCAGGCAGGCCCGGCCGGTGTGACTCAGTGGTTGAGTGTCGACCTATGAACCCAGAGGTCACAGTTTGAGGCGTGCAGAAGGCAATTGATGGAAGAGTCTCTCTCATCATTGATGTTTCTATCTCTCTCTCCCTTTTTTCCTTCCTCTCTGAAATAAAAATATATTTTAAAAAATCCGAAGATACTTGTCACCAAATTATCTATGTCAACAAACACACAAAATCAGGATCAAGGAAAAAAAAAAAAAGGATTGAGCAAATAAACTAATAGTAAGGGTTACTGTAGTTGCCAAAATTTGGTTAACTTCCTCATAGAAAGGAAATAGCTCTCATTATAAAAGCTCCCGTCCACTGATTCCTTATCACCTCCAAGGCACTGCAGATCGAAGTGCTGTGGGCGATCAGACCGATTTCATTGATTTAAACGACTGGTCCCAAAATTAAAGGAAGTTACCATCTGTACTGGCCACCTTTTTTTTTTCTTTTTTAAATATATTTTATTGATGATTTCAGAGAGGGAGAGAGAGATAGAAACATCAATGATGAGAGCGAATCATTGATCGACTGCCTCCCCTCCCTCCCCTCCAGGGATCGAGCCCGCAACCTGGGCATGTGCCCTTGACCGGAATTGAACCTGGGGCCCTTCAGTCCGCAGGCCCACACTCTATCCACCGAGCCAAACCAGCTAAGGCTGCACTGGCCATTTTTAAGTCTTATGGACTTGGTCAGGATCAGAGCAGAATGCTAGCTGGCGAGGGCAGGTCTGTCTGATGCTGAAGACGGGAGTAGTTCTGGACTCTGGCACGAATCTAGACCCTGATGTGGATCCTACGGGGGTTCTGGATACGGAACATGAGCCCCTCGGGCTGTGACAGAGTTCACTGTAAATCCCGAATTGGTTCCCACACCTTTTCTTCTTAGGACAGAGAGGGGCTGGCGATGGCTTCAAAGGGCCCAGCATCCATCCACCTGCTTGTCCAGGACAAGGAGGGAGAAATGAGACATCCCGGCGTCTCCACCACATGGTCACATACTGCTGCCAGGGAAGCCATGGAACCAGCGGGAGCCCCAGTAGCACCAACAGGGGACTCTGGGAACTATCTGACGTCATCAGTGGCAAAGGCCCTTTAGCACCTGTCAGCAGCTGCTGGGACTCGAGCTGCTCATCTGCAACAGCATGTCTAAAATTCCAAGCTAAGAAAAGAAGTACTGTCTGGGGGAGAGATGAAGGAAAGTGAAACATTGAAATAAGTTATGCTCCAAGCCTCACGCAAGCAGAGAACCTTAGACAATGGTGCCTACTCGTGAGGGAATAGAGGGATGGCCAGGATGATTCCTCTACATGCCAGTTTAGGAAAATTCCCATCAGCCCAGCCAGCGTGGCTCAGTGGTTGAGCATTGACCTATGAACCAGGAGGTCACGGTTCGATTCCCGGTCAGGGCACATGCCCGGGTTGTGGGCTCGATCCCCAGTGTGCGGCTTGCAGGAGGCAGCTGGTCCATGATTCTCTCTCATCATGGATGTTTCTCTCTCTCTCTCTCTCCCTGTCTCTTCCTTTCTGAAATCAATAAAAATATATTAAAAAAAGAAAACCCACATCTATCTTTATTGGGGGGGGAGGTGCATACCGGCATAAGCCTGATGCTACAGGATAAAATGTGCCACCTGGATCAATAATATCCATTGATTTCATAATATCGATTGATTGCATAATATAAATCCATTTGTAGCTTCCATTGCCTAGCATCTGGGTCTCCTCTAGCCAGTGAACATCACCGAGCTATACTATAGGCGGGAAGGGGAATGAGGATTTACACGATATATACTGTTTGCTAGTAAATACTACAGACGTGTGTTGCTACCTACAAACACTTATCCGGGGCCTCACCACCTGGGCTCCTACCTGGCAGCTGTGGGGCCACAGGAAGGGGGTGATCTCACTGTGCCTGGGTTTCCTCTGAGACAGGAACTACCATTCAATGCGGCGGTCACCGGTGTTCCGATCGACTAAGAGAAGAGGCCAACCCACCCCGAGCTCTGACAACACACGGGGCACACCGCAAGCGCTCAGATAGGTTAGCGGTTTCTCACTTCCCTCATTTCCCTCGCCACACCCTTGCGAAAAAGAAGAAGAAGAAGAAAAAACCCTGTAATCAAGTAACAGTGTCTTCCCCTTAGAGGGGAGACAATTTTGCAAAGACAGGCCATTCGCTTGTTCGGATTCCCAGAGAGCGACAAAGTATAAAACCCATTCCTTTTTCCCCCACTCGGCCAGGCTGGCCCTGCTATGCGCTGCTGTTTACTAGCCAAGGTCTGTGGCTTCACAATAAGCAAGTCACATACCCCTGACTTCCTCCAGGAAGTCAGGCTGTGCTAAAGGGAAACCGGTGTGTGCTAATCTTGACATCTCATCTCAACCAAAAAGAAAAATACTATTGTCTTTCAGGTACAGAAAGCCCAAGAACAGCGCTCTCAGGCCGTAAAAGCCACGGGAGGGAGGTGGACCCAGACCTTTGAAAAGTGAGCCTTAAGGCGACTCACTGCAGGGAAGGGGCAGGGAAGGGAGGGAGGCGGCTGCAGGGTGAAAGCATCCGCTACAGAACTTGGACACAAAACCTGCACGCGGACTACATCCTGCCCCGGCGGCATCTCTGGGGCCCATTCCCCGGAGGCCAAGCGCGCCCCGGCGCAATGAATGGGCTGGCCCGGCTCCCGGGGTCCCCGGTGCGCACGCAGCTCCAGCTCCGACTCTCACGCAGGCTCGGGGCCCGCGGGGCCCTTTCACCTTCGGGGCGACACCTGGCAGGTCACAAGTCAACCCGCAACAACCGGAAGCCAGATGCCGACAAGCAGATAAGACGGGCTCGCTGTGCTGTTCCCCTCTTTCCTTCCAGGGATCGGATGGCAGAGGCTGTTTAAGACGAGCAACAGCCCGGGGAGTCGGGACACCCGATTTCCAGGCCTCACACGGCCCAG